CAGGATCAGGCCCCACGAGAGTAGGCAGGGTCAGGCACAGCCCAGCGGTAGACGGGCAAGCCCGTGGTGCTGAGGCAGGCATGAGGCCAGGCTGGGCAGCGAGCCCACCGGTCGGGATCAGGGTCCATATCAGTGGATCTGTGGCCCAGCACAGTCAGCACTGCGGTGCTGCAGGACTGTAGCTCAGGCAGGAGGCAAACACAAAATCATTGTTAGGATAATTTAGATCTTAAGGGTCTAATCATTACTGGCTGAGATCTAATGTAACAGAAAAATAAATAACAATCAATTAAAATAATTTCATACATGCTTAACTTCCCCCCATTTCCCTGGTGGTGTGCTCACCCTTCCCTTGTGCCTCCTAAGGCAGGTAATTTCATTCTGGGGTTGTGGAGGGTGTTACAACAAACTGTCCTTCACCCAGAGGAAAGCTCCCTGCATGTACATATTTCCACGAGTTAAAATCAACTTTGGAAATATTTAACTTTCCTAGAGACTTTATACTCATGTTTGCAGATATTGTAAGCCCTTAGCCAACCTGTTAAAGAAAAACCAGGACTGGAGATCTGAACCAGATCCAAAGTTCTGTCAGCTTTGAAAGTCAAGTTAGCATGGGCACCTGCATGGCAATTTTGCAGCATAACCTGTAAAATTGTAACTTGCAACCACTCTAGCTGTAGGGAGCCACAGTATCACAAAAACAGGGGGAAAAGCAACAAGCTATGGCATATGATCATATGTCCTCACTAACATTGAAAATAGTTCACTTGGTGTGAAAAAGTGTGTGGTGCCAATATGTGAGGAGAATAATGGACTCCAGCAACTCTATAAGAGTCATAAATTGAAATTGTTTATTGCTGATACAAGTGCATTTATGTATCTTCCTAGCAACTGATCACACATAAACAAAAATCTTGGCTGGTTACATGCATTCTTCACACACTGTCCATGTGCCTAAGACTAACATTTGATTGGTCATTACCCTCTGTCCATAATACACCAGACAACTCACTGGCTACAAGTTAGTTACTGCTATCCTAAGCCTATGAGTTAATTAAATCTTATAAGCACAAACACAATGTTCTATACACTTTTAGCTCAAGGTAGACAACTTTCCACTGTTTAAGAAATGGCCAGATGTTTTCCATTAACTGTAGCCTGGCATGTTTTCTTTAGGCAAAGCTCAGCATCCTTATCTTGTTTTTCTACATTCCTGTTTGCTGCTTCCAAGGCTCCTGGCCGAGGAAGGTCAAGATGTTCTCATCATTCACCAGCTGTACAGCACTCTCAGTTCCAAGTCTTGCTCTTGCCCAACGTGGCCACTGTCCTCCAAAAACGATCCCACAAATATGGACCTTAGAAGACTGTTCTTGTATCATAGCAATCAGAATAAACATAGACAAAATATAGAACTTTGAAGTACACTGTGTCAGGAAAAGTACCAAATAGGCATCTTGCCAGTCTATGGGGCACAAGGTGGATGGATACTTGCCTTAATGAATTGGGGAATTACCATGAATTAAGGAGTCAACAATGTGCCCTCCCAGCCCAGAAAGCAAACTGTACCCTGGGCTGCATCCAGAGCAGGGGGGGCAGCAGGGCCAGGGAGGGGATTCTCCCCCTCTGCTCCGCTCTGGGGAGACCCCCCTGCAGTGCTGGGGCCAGCTCGGGGCCCCCAACAGCAGAAGGACACGGAGCTGCTCGAGCAGGGCCAGAGGAGGCCACGGAGATGCTGGGGGGGCTGGAGCAGCTCCTCTGGGGGGCCGGGCTGAGAGAGTTGGGGGGGTTCAGCCTGGAGAAGAGAAGGCTCCGGGGAGACCTTCGAGCGGCCTCCCAGGGCTTAAAGGGGGGACAGGAAAGGTGGGGAGGGACTCTGGATCAGGGGGTGGGGGGATAGGAGGAGGGGTGATGGTTTTAAACTGACAGAAGGGAGATTTAGATTAGATATAAGGAAGAAATTCTTCCCTGTGCGGGGGGTGAGGCGCTGGCCCAGGGTGCCCAGAGCAGCTGTGGGTGCCCCCTCCCTGGAAGGGTTCAAGGCCAGGTTGGACGGGGCTGGGAGCCCCCTGGGCTGGGGGAAGGGGGCCCTGCCTGGGGCAGGAGGGTTGGGACTAGATGACCTTTAAAGGTCCCTTCCAACCCAAACCATTTTATGATTCTGTGATTCTATGATTCTTTCACTCACAGCTTATGGACTGTTAAGTTACTAACATGAATGTCCACTACCACAGGAAGAAGAAAACAGCAACATCAACATCATATTCTTCCTGGGGACTTGAAGATGACAGTTCAGGTGTTATCGTCCTCACAGACAAAGACTTCTGACTTTAATACCGATAGAAATGATGAAAGGGTGAGCATAACCAAGGAAAAGTGCCAAAAATTAAGTGCATGTTTTATAGTTTTAATGTCATTAATGAGATTTCTTCTTCACAGAAGTATAAGTGCAATCTTATTTTTCCTTTTTCCTTAATAATTAGATCTAGACTAATAAAGATTCTTGATTTAGACTATCAATTGTGCTAATAATAAATTCTTGGATTTATATATGTATAAATAAGGTGTGATGCTTCATTACCATAAACAAGACTTTGAGCACAACACCAATTATTGTAATGATCTATACTGTGTGTACATATAGATATATGTATGTATACTCATTCCATTAGTAGAATCCCACTGTGACCAGGTGGTGAGAAGGAACAGGATCAGGTCACCCGTACCATTCATATTTGTGTATTTTGTGTTTTCTGTCCAAGTTTATCTGTGTGGCTGACCATGTGTGTACATGTATATTTAGATATTGTATATTTAGATATGTCTATATATTTTCATGAACTGGGTGTATGAATGCGTAAGTGCCTTTTGGGAGTACGTGCTCAGCCTTGCTACTGGCTGAATGGGCGACCATGGAGCTGCAGGAGAGCATGTGGCCGCAACAGCCTCCCGTGTAGTGGACTCCTGGATTCATCAAACCCTTGCACTTTTTTCTTAGGCCTTGCATGAGGGTCACTGCGTCCTTACCTTGTTACAGGGGACTGCAAGTTTTTGGTAGCACCCAAGAGCTCATCAGACTGGTTGAGAACAATCTCTCGAGGGCAAATACAACCAATGCTACTCTCATTACTGGTGTACTTTTTATTTTAGTTTATTTTCATTTGCTTTCTTTTTTCTCGACAGCCCCAGAGCACGGATAGTCGAGCAGTAAACAAAGAAGGAACAGTAGCTGTTAAAGGAGACTTGAACTCCATCGTGGGTTACTCTAGGATTTTATTCAGGTCCAGCAGCGTTGGGTCACCTCCGCAGAGAGTGACAGCTTACATGAGTTCGCATACATGTATTTATGCACCTACAAAGCATTACCTAATCCAGAATACACAGAATTATACTTTATCAGTCATTATTATCTTGACAGTGGGTTTCACATCTTGTTCTGGAGTCCGACCGCTTCGTTGTTTGTTTCTTCTTTCTTTTAGTCTTCAAGGGAGATTACCTCAAGTTCTGTACGTCTCAGTTCTTAGTAGTCACAATGATAGATCTCCCATCGCTTCGGTAGCTAAGGGTCAGTTTCTCATACATCAACATCCTTTGAACTGTCAGGCCCATCATTACCTTTGTTACAACATTTTATTGATGCTCTATTCAGTTGACTGTGCTTGCAGCCCTGGGCTGGGGCTATACAGGGGACCGAGCTGATAGAACAGCTTGTGCAGCAGCACTGCATTGCAACATTTTCCCAACAGTAGCTCCTATCACTCTGTAAGATGGCCATCAGCACCTGAATTGTCTCTGACTAGGATGAGGTTAACTTTACCCATAACAGCAGCTCACATTTTAGATTTGTAACTAAACAGTGTTAATAACACACAAGGCAGTCATATGGTACAGAATGACCCTGTCCAATATTTGGATCAAACTCCTTTGGGGAGTTTGGGTCGGCTGTCCTGGCTGTGCCCCTTCGCAGCCTCCTGCCCACCCCCAGCCTACTCTGTGAGGGGGCAAACCGAGGAACAGTGAAGGCATTGATGTTGTGCAAACACTGCTCAGCCAAGATACTGGTGCATTATCCAGCTGTTTTGGTCACAAATATAAAACACAGCACCATTGTGGCTACTATGAAGAAAATTTACTTTATTGCCACCAGACCCAGTAGAATTATTTACTTCACTTTCTGTGAAACCCTTTGGGTTGAACGACATAATGACTTTGGTTTTTTACCTTGGTTTATAAGCTGAGTTGGCCAGGACCTGGCACAGAGGAGCAGGAGTGGGGGAAAGCAGTCTTTAAGCCCTGAGGAACCGTTCGCTGATCAGCAAACCCCTCTGTGTGCCCTTCTGGAAGGCAGCATGGCAACTTCTGAGCTCAGACCCTCACGTTCTGAAGCGTGAGCCACCCCTGAGGGCTCATCCGCACCATCCATGGGAGCAGCGGGCTGGCTGAGCTGCGCGGGGAGACCCTGTGGCTCCCCATCCTCACCGCGCAAACATCCCCTCAGACCGGCTCTGCACCAGCCTCTCCCTTCCCCCGCATGCTCTCGGACCCCCACCTCCCCTCCCGAGAAGGAAACACCGCTGCCCACGACCAGATCACCACAAGCAGCTCCCGCGTTTCTGCCTGAGGGAGGAACGCTCGGGGGCCCCGCGGGGCCCGCGCCCTCGGCCTACCTCATCTTTTTGTTTCGCTTAACACGGGACTAGATCCTACAGAGCTTTCAAAAGCCCCACCCTGTCGGGTTTAATTCACCACCTGTTTTTTACACCACTTAAAAGCGACCACGCTGACACCCGAACCACCCACAGCCATGAAGCACCGGGCGGCTGATCCTCCACCCCCTTCCCCGGCCTCGCCCCCTGACGCTCCCACCGAGCACATACTCCACCCCCTTTCCAGGCCACGCCCCCCCCCGCGCTCCCTCCAGTCAGAAAGCGATCCCCCGGGAAACGGCGGGTCGGGCAGCGCCGTGTCCCGCCCCCACGCGTACGCGCGCCAGGCCGACGCATGCGTGGTGCCGCTGCGGCCGTGAGGCTGGTGTTGGTCGGCGTGGGAAGGGCGGAGGGTGCGGGCCGGGTCAGGCCGAGAGATGTCGGTGGTGCAGGGGAGGCCGGAGCCGGAGGATGATAACGGTGAGTGCCTGTTTCCTTCGGAGGGAGCCGGCAGGGCTCCGAGCGAGCGGGGGCTGAGGGGCGCTGAGGGACCGGAGGCGGCGGCGCGGAGGGGGGGGGCGGTTTGTGGTGGCGGGCGGCTTACCTTTCTTGCGCATGCGCACTGGCCGGCCCTCGGGCACAGCGTGGGGTCGGTGGCCCGCGGTTGCTTCGGGTATTTTAGAAATAGTGTTGATAGTCTCCCTTTCTGTCATCAGAGTCGGATGTCTTTGAAATTGTCCTCCCAGTCACTGTCATCGTGCTGAGCGATGATGATTTCCTCCAGGAGGACGCTGAGGAGCAGGCAGCGGCCGTTCCCGGGTTGAGGAAGGAGAGTGAGCAGGAGGCGAACTCAAACACCAGTATTTTCGTAAAAAGCCATGTGGAACCCTCAAATGTTAGTAGCAGTTTAAGCATTTGGGAAGAAAACAATACTGACTCAAATAAGGATAATACTATGAAATACTCTGGAGAAAAAGGTGTTGCTGAGAGTGTGTGTAACGAATCAAAATCATCTTTAAGTGATTGCTGTGATGCAGGCAAGAATAAATATAGTCAAAATTGTGCGTTGCCTACATCATCCTGCAAAACAGAGCTTACAGAGATAAAAGAAACCAGTGACAGAAAACAATGTGATGGTGATGATGGCTTTCAGAAGATTCTTCCTCTCCTCTCCTCTGCTGGCAGCGAGGGCAGAGATGATACCATCAAGACAAGCAGACATTGGACACTGGAAGTGATATCCAAACATAAAGAGGAACATGTCAGTGTTCAAAGTGTTCTTTCTGATGGCATTCAAGCGGAACAACCAGAAATCCACAAGGAGATGGAGACAATTGCTGAAATGGAAGGTAATTTGTTAACAAAACTAGTGCAAGAGTTTGAGAAATCTGGTAAATCTCAAGTTTTTGAAATAGATAGGAAAGTGTACAGGAAGAATGACAAACCTGCTTATTTTAGAGTAATCATTTCAGCACAGATTAATATCATATGCAGCGGAAAGAGAATATTGGTTGGAGTATGCTTGGTTCTTTCACAGACTTCTGTAAAAAATAGTGAAATTATGATAAATTGGTACTGTTTCATTCTGCTGCAGCTTACAAAAGGGTGGACTTTCATTAGGGAAAAGGATGTGAAATTTAAAACTTAGGTTAAAGAGGTTTTTTATCCCAATTAAAGATATTAGGAAGGGAAAAACAACAGGCAATAACGCTTGGTGATACAAGCAGAGACTGGGAGAGGCATAATTTAGGTTTAAACTCCACCTTTCCTTATAGCAGATGGAAGTCCTTAAGGAAAAAAGGCGTAGAGAAGTACTAAGAATACTTTTCCTTCTAACAGTCAGAAGACAGCAGAAGGAGCATCACACTTGTGAGAATGGAGCCCTAGCAAAGTTCAGTTACAGTACTTTGAGGAATTCTGGCATGAAGCTGTTTCATTAAAAACTAAAGGGGATGCAATGTTATCCTGTAAAATTGAGAGCTTTGAGTGAAAAGAGGAAGTGAAAAGGAGGCTCCTAACTAGGATTTCTTTTCTTAAAACATTATCTAAGTGTTGCACGGGAAAACATGGAGAGAGACATTAGGAAAGAAGTGGTGCTAGGAAAATATTAAGGAAGCAAAAGGAGTGAAGATTAAGGAAGTTGTTAGACAAGTTGGGATTATTTCTACCAATTAATCATGAACATTGGTGATTGTATGACATGTCATGCATGTGACTTTTTTATCCCCCTTGTAGATCCTGGTTCTTCAAAGATTGGAGATAATGAAGCCAATAACAGCAAAAGAAAGAAAATCAGATTTGAAGATGAAACTCTGAGTTCTCTTTTGGAACATGGCTTGAAAGAAGAACTGAAACTTACCTATAATTGTTCTTCTCTGTTTCTTAACGGATGTTCTTCTGCTTCAAAAGAATTGCTGAAAGATGCAGGGAAACCAGAGATGAATGCTTCAACTTCTTCTGAATCAAATACTACTGAAGAGCATATTTATAAGACGTTAACTCCATTTCCTAAAAAAAGATATCGGCAACAACAAGTTTCTCCTCATGCAAGCCCAAAAGAATTCCAAAGCCAGCAAGAAGGTTTAGCATGGCTAAGTAATAGTGTGACAATCAAACCTCTTCCTAAAACATCTTGTTCTAGAAAAAAACATGAAAGATTGCATTTGAAGTGCAGGTTTTGTAGTCGTGCATATAAATGCAACGCACATTTAAAGAAACATGTTTATTCAGCTCATAAAGATAAGAAAATACATAAGTGCTGCTTTTGTAAAAGAACCTTTTTCTTTTCTGTCAACCTCAAGAATCACCTTAAATTTCATAAGAAAATTACTAGGTTGCACAAGGCAAGAAAAAATAGAATAAATGCGAGAAAAGCCAGGCAGAGGAGATCTGAAGAAAGAAAATCTGAGACCAAGAAAAAAGAAAGTAAATATGAAAAATTTTTCATCAAAATCGAAAGGGACTTTACACCTCTAGGTGTGCCAGTTAGTTTTTCCTGCAAAATTTGTTTCTTTGCTTCATCAAATCCTAGGATTTTTATTCATCACATGAAGGGACATAAAGAAAGACCACCTTACCGGTGTCCTCAATGTGATTACTCCTGCATTAGCTTATCTTATCTCTTAAATCACATGTACTGGCATGCTGGGTATAAACTGTACCAGTGCAGGTTTTGCACCTTTTTTTCATCATATTTTTCAAGCATGGTAAGGCATAGCTACATACACACAGGAGCTAAACCACGTTTGTGTGAGTTCTGTCAGTCAGCATTCACAAGCACCACTGTGTTGAAGAGACACAGAAGATTACACACTGTCAAAGAAACATGCCCAGGGCAGCAACTCAACTTCGTAAGTGGAAGAAAGAAGACTCGGAGACCTTTAAAGAATTATACATGTGGTGAGTGTAATGTAGTGTGTTACACTAGAGGACATCTTAGCTTTCATAAGAAATTTCATAAACAGCTTAAATCTACTGCTAATGGTTATATGAATCAGAGCAACGAATGTCATAAAACCAAAATATGCAAAGTTGACAGTGATTCCCAGGACCATGCTTCTCTGTCTCCTCATAAAGAAAATTATTGTCTCAAAGGGGGATTGCTAGCTTCAGAAGTAGACTTTGAGCAAGCAGGTGGTGTGTGGGGCAGTAAGAAAATGTGCTCTGGAAAGAAATTCCCTGAAAACAGCCATGGAAGCAAGAGCTTGTCTATTATTGGGAATAGATCAGAAGCTCCTCTGAATTCATACAAAACAGACACTGTTGTTTGCAAAGAGGAGCCTCTTTTCAATTCCAAGGCCTCTTGCTCACAAGCTCAAGATGATGATGCATATTGTAAATTTGTGGAAAACTTAAAGGGTACTTGGCCTTCCAGTTTGTCTACATTCAAAACGTACAAGTGCCAATACTGCAATTATGCTACTGCTGTTCATAGTAACTTTCAGCTGCACCTGAAAATACATACACATACAAGACTGTTTGTATGTAAAGAATGCAATAAGACATTTAAAACATCAAACCAATTGCAGAAACACAGCCTTAGTCACATAAAGAATGGACACGAGTTTGGCCATTGCCTCTATGTAGATAGCCGTTTAGAGAATCTTGAATTGCATCATGAAATGCATGTAGGGATGTGTCCAGAAAGAGATTTTGGTTCCTCGGAAGGTCCAAACAATGTCTATTCCTTGCTGGGTTCACAAGTCTGTGGACTACAGCCAGGTGTACAGGGAAGTGTAGAAAATGATTTGCTAGCACAAAGTCAGCCACGATTCTATCAGTGTGCAGAATGCGAGTATGCTACTCACATTTTAAGCAACCTTGAACTACATGTAAGAACTCACACAGGTGAGAAACCTTACAGCTGTAGTGTTTGTCAGAAGAAGTTTCGTACTTCCAGTCATCTGAAAAGACACCAAGTCACACATTTTAATGTAGGGTATCTCAAGTGCAGGAACTGTGACTATTCAACTAACAAATGGCTGTCCTTGAAACAGCATTTGGCTTCACACTCTTGTGCAGAAGGCTCATCTACTGACTGCCTCTATGAACAAAAGCAACTACCTGTCAAAACATACACATGTGAAGAGTGTGGATATTCCACGGTCCACAGTGGAAACTTCAAGCTGCACTTGAGAATTCATACAGGGGAGAAGCCGTTCAAGTGTGGTCAGTGTGCTGTTGCTTTCCGCACATCCAGCCACCTGAAGCGCCACTTAGTGACTCATTCAAGGTTGCACTGCAAAAGGTGTAAATTTTCTACAGTAGATAAATGTGATTTCCAAAAGCATGTAAAAACACACACAAAGTGCAAGTGTGAACAGTGTAATGTGATGCTGCCTACCAAAAAACTTCTGGAAAAGCATAAGCAGCAACGTGAGCTTGGAATATGAGCTTGGGAATTGCAGGTTGGCGTTTGGTTCTGGAGATGCTTGCATGTCCTGAATTTGTTCACTGCTTTACATTCTCCTGCTGTCTCTAGAACAATGGCTGGTAGTGGATGCATCCCACGTTTTGGTCCGAAGAGTGAAACTCAGGGCACAGATTTGCTCCAGATTCTTCTAGGAGCTTCAGTTCTAGCATGGGCTGTGCCAAAGAAGATCTTGGGGGCACTTGTTCATGCCTGAGTAACTTCTTAGCACCATGAAGTCAGTTATGGCCAATGTTCATTGGTTTGAACAGTTATTCTGTGTCACTTACTTTCCTGTAAAAAATTTAAAAACCAAAGTCACATCTAACTGAAAGTATGTTTAAGCGGAAGTAAGGAAGTGAACATTACAATGCATTGTAATAACTTTTCATTTAAAAATCATCAATGTGTTTGGAGGCTTAATGCTACCTCCCATCTGCTGAAAATTGCATTCACTGCTCCCATGTTCTCTTGCAATAGAAAAAAAAATAGTATTTCAGAAAATTACAGAAACAGAAGTTGATGTTATCACTGGATAACTAGGATATGAAAATGTTTTCTCTGTGTGTGTATATATATATATTAGGTTTATTAGGCAGTTACCTTGTCTCTACTTTTGATAATTCTTTGAGTAGTTGGGCAGAAATGGTAATGGTGTCCTTAGTCAGATATTTCATGATACCGAGAATCCTTAAGTTAATCTTTAACATAAGACATTTACATAAAATTAATCTAGTGTGGAATGCCTTATATTTTCTTAGGCTGGTAGTTACTGTACTCTTTGTTTCTTAAAATAGACAATATCATACTTTTCAAAGAATTCATGTTAGTTTAACCACTTGCTGATACATTGCAAATACTACTTAGTTACATTGAAAACCTTATCAGTGTCTTGACTTGTAAAATTTACTTTGTTAGAGGTTTACTGTGCATCTAAAATACCATGCACAAGGACCAGTTGTGCCAAACAGCAGTTGTTATCTGGTATAGTCAAGACAAATGAATGCTTCTTCCACTTTATGTTCAAATCTAGACAAATTTCTGTTTGTTTTAGAGTTGTACAGTGCTAGAAACTCTGTGTGAGCATCACTGACTAATGTGTTCAGTGGTAATGATAGCAGCATTGTAACCCTCTTGTGTGAGGAAAGGAAATGGCAAAGGGCTGGTACTAACTCTCTCCTAATGTTACAGTTCAGTACATGAAATAGCACAGCAAACCTATAGCTTAATGTAGAGAATGTAAACATGAAATTTCCACTGCTTTTTTGCTGCTGTCAAATGTATGATTTTCTTTATAGATATAGATAATATCTTACAGAGGCTTTCTGGTAACGTAAGAGACAGGTTGGAAACAGTTGCCCAGAGAGGTGGTAGACTCCTCCTCTTTGGAAATATTCAAAAGCCCATCTGGACATGGTCCTGGGCAACCAGCTCCTGGTGGCCTTGCCCTGAGCAGGGGTTTGGCCAGGTGACCTCCAGAAGTCCTACAGCCATTCTGTGATTTGGAACACCATTTTCCAAGAGTGGATTGAAACTCATGAACAGATGCATGTATTTAAGGCCAGATCAGCAAAGGTATTTAAGTGATGTAGTTCTTTGTAGTTGCAGTAAAATCAGGCAAGTAAGTATCAGTGACTCTGAAACCTGGTGTTTACAGATGTTTTTACTACAAGCCGGGAAGTCACAGTTTGGGAATCAGTGATTCAGATCTTAGAATGATTGGGCTAACGACTGAATACAGTTGTGAGAAAGAAGAATGTTGTTCTGATATGAAGAAAGAAAAGCATTTCTGGGAAATACTAACACTGTTACACAAACATGGAGGAATTTTTACCTGCATTACTGTGCAATTAGGATCATTTATTTGAAGAGAAATTCAGAATAAAGGGTGTAAAGCGGTAACAAAAGTGGTGAAGAGAATTGTAAGCCTGTATATCAACTGAGACTGGGAAAGCTAAATCTCATAGACGATAATTGTTTACAAACATGGTGCACAGTGGTGAAGAAGGGAGCCCAATTTAAGGGGGGATAAATTACTTCAAAGGAATTTTTAAAAGTTTGTAAACAGTATAAGTTTATTTTAATTGTAAGTAAGAACGATGGAAGACATTTTGAGTTTTTAAGAATTATTTCAGGAGGTTGCTTCTAAAAAAAATAAATAAAGTGTTTCATGACTCATGAGGTTCCTCTGTGTTTCTTATGGAGTGCAGTGCACTGCACTTTCAGGGATTGGAAGTGGTTCTCAGTCTGGCAAGTCAGAGAAATTTAAATGTAAATGCATTCTAATTTTAAAATAAGGATGCGGACTGTTCTTGATATTTGGTTTTGCTAGCTAAAAGTAAATATTTTTGCAGCGTCTTAAGAAAAATTAAAGCCTTTCCTAAATCAAACTGTGAAGTTTTCTATTTCAACCTAAAAGATTTGGTTAATTTTTTTTTTATGAACATGTTTTGAATGTGGACAAAACAGTAATGGGAAATCACACTAATGACAACTTGAGCAATGCATCTACTACATAAGTGAATAAAAGTTAAACACAGGGTGAAGTAAATGAATACAGGTGAACCCGGCCATGCTGCAATATGGTTAACCACCAACCACATTTACCTATAACGGAAGGAAAAACGATGTGTTTTGTTTTTTTGTTTTTTTGTTTTTTTTTTTCTTTACGGTATGTTACTACATGCTCCTACCACAGTTTCCATTTGGGCTACAGTTTTTTTCTCAAATTAACAAAAACTAATGCAAATGCAACATTGGTGAGATCTGATTTTCTTCTGCTGTCCCTCTGCGTCCGTTTGGTGGAATTTGACGGAATTTCATGATTACCCCGGTTTATGTTTTGAAGAGCAGGCGCGGGCCGCTCCGCTGTGCGCTCCTCCGGCCCACAGGCGGCGCTAGAGCAAAGCGCCTCCCCACAGCGCGGTGCCACCCCACCCCACCCCACCCCCCTTGCGCATGCCCGGTACGGCTTGCCCCGTACTCGCCGTGCGCCTGCGCGGCGGAGGACGGGGGCTGGGTCAGCCCCGCGGAGGAGAGCGGATCTCCCTGCCTTTCACTGCTTTTTTTCTCTGCGTAACTTCGAGCCTCTTCGCCGCCAAGATGCCGCGGATTATGATTAAAGGCGGTGTGTGGCGGAACACCGAGGTAGGCCTCTGCTCGCTTTAATCCCTCACACACCCTCCCCGGCCCCCCCCCCCCCCCCCCCAAGGGCCGGGGCCTCAGCGGCCGGGGGGGGAGGGAGCCGTTGCGCCGTAGTGCGCAAGCGCTGAGGCGCTGCGGGGTTGTGGCGCGCATGCTCGGGGGGTTCGCGTAGCGGGGTGTCATGAAGAGGGGGGAGATCGGGATTTTTCTGCGCCTTTTTGTAGCGGGGGATGTGGGGGGGGGCTAGGTGTCTGCAGGCACATTTGCTCTTGTGGGCATGATTCCTCAACAGCTAGCACCTTCCCTAGTTCAAATCGGCGGTGTTGCTCCGGAGGGCTGCGCGCTGGCGAGGATGGGAAGCTCAGCCCGTGCGTGTGTCCTGTCTCTGCCCTCTGGAGAAACAGTCCCCAGAGCAGCCGGAGGGGATGCGTGGGCTGTGTTGTCCTCGGAGATGTCCTTTTTGTAGGCTGGAGTGTGTCTTATGCTGCATAGTCACGGTTCTTATTTTCTAGGGCTGTGAGGCAGCTGGAATCACTTGCCCATGAAAACCCTTCTAAATGCAGAAATGTTGAAGATGAGTATGGGCTCTTCAGCAGCAGCCCAAAGCCTTTCGAACACGGAACTTTATGTGCTGTTCAAAAAAGCAAAACCCACCACCCCTCTCTCCCATTTTTGCTATCGCATGCTTTCAGAACTGCAAGTGATGGCGAAAAGGAAAATAATCACACGAGAAATCAAGGATGCCAGTTTTATGAGGTGGCACATTTAAAGCAAAAGGAGGTACCCAACATTTAAATCCAGGACACTACTCTTGTATACTATGAACGCTAGGCATGTACATAGTTCCCAAAAGTAGTGAGAAAAATTAATGGAAGATAAAAGTGTTGTGTGCTTGGAAATGTACCGCATGTGCTTTTAACCACTGGTGACATACCAGCTAGGTGCCAGGAGGCAGCTAAATTGGAGGTCAGCAGCGGATAGGAAGAACCACTGTGTGCTTACCCTATTCTTATGGTCTTCCATAACTGGCTAATTCTGGTGACTGTTAAGAGAAACATCAGTGGGTTAAATGGACCATTGTTTCACCCATTTTTCAGTACCAGAGCTGAAATAGCTTACCTTTGTGCTATTTTTTTTTTATTAATGGTTTGATTTTATATACAACATAAAAATTACAGAAAGGGGAACCAGTTGATACCAGGTCATAAAGAAAATGACCAATTGCTTGCAAAAAAGCCTACTAATGTCATCAGTATGGCTACTGCGTGTCATGTGATACGAAGTACATTTTAAAAATCAGGATTTATTACTTACTTTTTAAATAGAAATTACATGAGTTGCTTTCTGTAGCAGCTGAAGCCAGAGTTCATCAACAGCTTGCCATTAAAGCTGCTGTGTGCTCTGTGAGATGTCTGTGCTCGACATAGTATTTGTCCTTGATGACTAGCATCTGCATGGTACAGCTGAACAGATTCTGAACACAGCTACAGGTACTTATTGGATACAGAAGAGGAACATCTGTGGTTGACAAGGCTGTAAGAATAGCTTTGATGCATTTGAAATGCCACTTTCTGACCTGTGAGGAAACCAAAAATAATGAATCCATTTATCTGGGGGGAGGGGAAAGATGAATTGCTGGATGGATTGACAGACAGTTGACAGAACTTCTAGCTTTTGATCAAATCTCAATGCAGACTTTGATGTATATGAACAACCTTGCGCCCAAGCTGAATCCATTACATATTATTTTTTTTTTTCCCCAGAAGTTTATAAGCTTTGGGATTAGCACTTTTGGGTGTTATATTCTGAACATTAAAGTGATTTATTTTAAGATTTACTTGTAAAAGATAAACTTACTATAAAGTTCCTTTATTTTTGTGATACTTTTCTTTTTTTTTAACAGAATATTCTATTGATAGGTAAATATTTCATTTGCATTAAAATATGGGGGAAAAAAAGATAGTTTTGTGGTATTATTTAAAACAAGCTACCTAAAGGTATGTATCAATTCTATTTTTTTTCCAAATGTTTTGTTATTACCAGACAAACACTTTCCTACCTCTTTATTGGTGTCCTTCAAGGAAGACATACAAAATCTTTACAAATGTGCATTAGAGAGCGTTGAAAGTAATCGGTTTGGAAGTTCTGTCTGTCTCCCTTGTCTGAGGCCTAAATCGTCATCACATATCTTTTCATTTAATTTTCTTGATTTCGTTGGCATTTGAAATACAAATCCTCATTCAGCTTGAGAATAGAACATGTAAAAGAAGCAGCAGTGCTGTGCTGTTTCCTCTGGGTCAGCCCTTTACATGAAATCCACCATCTTCTCTGCTTGAGCTCAAACTTTCTGTTTTGCAAGTTCTTATGATCCGTAACAGTTTTTTTTTTTGTTTTTTTTGTTTTTTTTTAGGATGAAATTCTGAAAGCAGCTGTGATGAAATATGGCAAAAACCAGTGGTCTCGTATTGCTTCTTTATTGCATAGAAAATCAGCAAAGCAGTGCAAAGCCAGATGGTAAGAGTGAAGTACCATGTCTGGGAATATGGGATTCATAATTAGTGGGAATTTAGAAATTACCACAGATGAATTTATGTCTACAGAGGAACAATAGTTTTAAGATTGTTTGATTTCTGCTATTGCAGATATTTCAAATTCCTGTTGATTGAAATTAATTGAACAAAAGTAGCCAAATGATATCTTTGCCAGTGACTGCTGTGTTAGCAAATGCAGGATCACCTCAAATTGTGCACATGATTTTTTTTTTCCTCATATTTACACATTTTTAATCTGTGAGTATTACCAAGGAAGTAAAATTGTAAGATATTAATGTCTCTTACAGATAATGTTCTAATTTTTCATAATGAGAATTTGGCTTAAGGATAAATGTTTAGAAATTGCACTGTGGAATTTCATTTTAGATAAATAAATAGAAGTTTAAAACTAATACAAATACATGCAGTATGAATCCGTTTGAGAATCAGACTTAGTTTCTTGAGTACTGAACTGCACATATTTATTAGAATACTTCTGTATAAAGGTAACAATACTGGCACAGCTAAAGTTTAGTAAGATAACTGTTGAAGGATCCAGACCAAACAAACCTACCATTTCTGTTATCTTTGGTTGCTGCAATTTTTCTTTTTCTGGATTAATCTTGTGACTCCTTACCTTGCCAGAATAGAGGTGGGAAAAGGAAGAAGAGGCAATATCTGTATGAAAAGTGGTGGATAAATAATACATTTTAAAGCTCAAATGTGTATGTCATAAAAATATTCTGGAGCAACATCCTTTTGTACAGAAAAAACTGGTATGAAATTTGCATGACAAGATTTTTAAATTTCATTGTGATGATTTGGGTAAACACTGTTCTGAATTAATTCAAGACAAATCAACAGATAGCTTGTATCTGTTGTCCTTAATTTTTTCTCTTTTTAACAGGTATGAGTGGCTAGACCCGAGCATCAAAAAGACTGAATGGTCACGGGAAGAAGAGGAGAAACTGTTGCACCTGGCCAAGCTCATGCCAACCCAGTGGAGAACCATTGCCCCAATTATTGGGAGAACTGCTGCACAGTGTCTGGAACACTATGAATTTCTGCTGTGAGTTACTGTTTTGCTAGAAGTACATACTGGGAAAATGTGCAGAGTTTGTTGTAGCAATGTGTCCTTCCCTTCTCCCATGGTACTGAAATATGGTGGTTTCCAGTTGACAGAGTCCTTTTGTAAGCAAATCCTTAAGGACCGTTTCTTTTCAGTTGATGTATCTGTCTTCAAAGAAGAAGCTTCTGGGGCCTGGAGAGCAGGTTTGAATAGAGATAGGTGTATATTTTCTTGCTTCTGGTCATTCTGGCTGGAGGCGTGTCAGGACTGAAGCTTTTTATAGGCTTCCATTTCAGGTTTATTTGGGTATTTTTTGACTGGCTGACAGCATGAGTAAGGGTGTGAGAAGAAAAAAGACACACATAAAACACATGTTGAAATGGCTAAATGATCAGCCATCATCTCTCTTTACTACAGAGGGTTTCTTCAGGCCATGAGAAGTGCTGTTTTCCCTTATGAGCTTTCATAATTCTGGTGTGATTGGTTGAGTGTAAAAGCGTAAGAAGAAACTCAATTGTTTGTTTTGTCACACTGCTTGAATTCTTGTCCTTACTGTTAAAGATTACCCAAGG